CCCCTACCCTCAACGTCCCCTGAACCGCCACTACCCACGTCGATAGGCGAGCCATCGTTTATCCATTGTTAAACTGTTGGACTAATTAAACTGTTAATTGATTATCGTTGAATTAACCGGTGTCTTCATGTTTCTCAATGGGTTTACCAACACTTCCCGTCCCTCCCCGTTTCTCTCCTGTCGCACAAACGAGCAAAATCTCTCGCTCACCGAATTGACATCCTCGACGGGGAACGAGATCGTCATTCAGAGGCGAGTGACTCGTCGTACTCGTTAAAAATACGTGTGTCGATGCGAAGCGTTAAATATCAATTAATGGTCTCATAAAAGTCCCACACGCGTCAAGTTGAGCGAAGTGTTTAACTAGACTCACTTATATCATTCTTTAGTCACAGACATAAATTTCAAAAGAAGGAAAGAGACAATTATTTATCAATAGTTCATTTTTCAATCCTTAGGATTAAAGTATCTAATGATTTTGATTTTGAGACAAGTAAAAAATACGATTTTATGATTTACAAACATCTTTAATATTGCCCTTTTTCAATTTCTAATGTAATGTAAAAAAAAAAATTATATTCCTATATTATGTTACGAAAATATTTCTCTTTTATCTCTGATTTCTTTTTTGTTGCTAGAAGACGGCCTAATGAATGGTTACGTGTTCATAAGTACTTTGTGTTCTTTCTTAAAACGCAAAGGAGTGCCAACGAAATATATATGCGTTTATGTGCTGATCGATTGTCTCTCTCCGCCAGGCAAGGCCCACTTCGTATTCGAATCAGAAAAGTCGAACATGCACAATCAGCTGCTGAAACAGATCCAGGAGGGCGTGAAGCTCAAGACCGTGAGGACGAATGACCGCTCGAAGCCGATGCTGGAGGGACTGAGGAAATTCCGGCGACAAATGACCATCGAGGAGCAAATTCAAAAGGCCGAGGAGGCGCCCGTGGATGACGTTATAATTCAGGACGAGATGGATGACATTGATGCCGTTAGGGATGATTTGCAAAGCACCAAGCAGATGCTCGCGATGGAACTTAGAAACAAAGAAACCTTAGAACGAGACAATAAGCGACTGCAGGTAATAAAATTGAAATTTGATATTTGGTATATTTTAGGAAAAGCTCCTTCAAAATAGCTTGTGTTCACTTTATTCTATTTCATAACTTGTACATCATATTTATTTGAACAAGGTAAACTGGATACTATTGGCCAGACGGGAACTGAAGGGTTAAAGAAATAGCTAAAGTTCATTTTTTACGGAATAATTTCATGTGCAGGCACGAATTTTGAATCTCGAGGCAGAAGTAGAACGTGTTAAGCTACAAAATAATACCCAAGAAAACAAGCAACAGGACGTGAAACTCATGGAATCTTTGAGACAGGAAGTGCAGCAAGCGAGAAAAGATGCGGAGAAAGTGGAGAAGGAATTCACCAACGCCGCCGAGGAAAGAGACAAGGCTAGAAACGAGTTAGAAGAGATGAAAAGAATGTACGCGGCGTTAGAAAAGCGTATGAAGGCTGGTGCGTAATTAAGAGAGTGTCCGCTTTGCTGAAGGCTAGAGCGATTCTATATTAATTGCGTTTTCTCATCTGACAATGAGCTTTCCCTAATCGCCTTGAATTAAGCGCTTTTCAAACAACATCTTAATTATCAATTCCATGCAAATTAAATCTATTTTTTACGCTTTCATATCAACGCTTGCATTAATCACGTTTCTTCGCCTCGCTTTCCTTTGCTTTGCTTATCAGAAGAAGAGCTTACGTCAGTTGAAGCTGAACCGATAGTGGAGTTAGCGGAGGACTGGGAAAACGTGGGATGGTACAATGTTGTAGGAATGGCACTGGCTGGTTGTCCGAGCGCAAAGGACGTAGCCAAGATCGCGACGCAAAAGAGCATAGACAAACAGGATGTTCGCAGTGAGAGCGAGGAGGAGGAAGAGAGTACGGAAGAGGAAGAGGAAGACGAGGATCCTAAAGCCGGAGCGGAGAAACGCGCGCAAAGGGAGATCAAGCTTCTCATTTCGAAAATTAAAAATTTCAAGTGAGTGCGGCGACGAAACCTCCGAGATCCTTATATAATCGGCCAAATAAGAGTGGTCGACCTATTTAAAAGAAAAGTTTATTTATTAGCATTTAAATTGTAATGATTATATTCTATAGGATTATGATTAAAATGCAATTACATTAATAAGGAGTCCAGTCACTACCGGTGTCTAATGGAACCGCTTACGCATAAAGCGCTATAAAGCTGTATTTTCAATTAGTGGAAAGTATGCCAGTCCGTCATAGACATGGTGGGTCGCTTATTAATGTAATTGCATTTTAATAATAATCTTATAGAATATATATAACTATTAGAGGTGTGCGAATCAAGCATATTTGCATGGTCGAATCGAATCGAATCGAATTTTTATAACATGTTCGAAATCGAATCGAATCGAATCTGAAATTTTCACTTCGAATCGAATCTCTTTAATTCGAATACGAATCGAATCTGAATCAAATTTTCCCAGATTAACATTACATTAGGCGATCGATTCGAAATCGAACCATTGTTGATTCGAAATTCTCGAACTATTCGATTTCAAATCTCGCAGATTCGAAAACGAACT